TTGTGCAGCAGCTGCTGTGGAAGTGGTTCCAGCTTTGAGCAATCACAAATTTTCAGTGTTTTAAGACTAAATGGTAATATGCCTTCAGGAAAGCACATTAGAGATGGACAATTATCAATCTCCAAGCTCTTAAGATCCCACATGTTTGTGTTGTTATTGTTCTGCATGATTCCCTCTGGTAGAGACTGCAAATCTCTACAACCTCGGATTTTCAACCTTTGCAAACTGGTAAGCATGTTGACTCTTGGAAGGTATGTGAGGAAAGGACATTTCTCAATCTCCAAGTCTTCAAGAAGACAATCACTAGTCCTGCAATTAAGCATAATCTTCCAATCAGGCAGCTTCTTTAGAGCTGCACAATCTTTCAGCTTAAGATGTCTAAGTGTGGACAAGCAACCTGTCTCAGGAAATGATACAAGTTTTGGGCATGATTCAATATGCAAACTTTTGAGGGTCAGTTGCTCCAAGTTGCCATAGTTGATCAATTCAATATCATCCAAACCATTAGGAAGACCTTGCTCATTTTTTATCAGAGATACAAACTTGGAGCAGCCCTTTATTTTTAGATGCTCAAGAGAAACTATGTTCTTCAGTCCAGTATCCTTCTGCCACAAAGATGTCAGTTCAGTGCAATTGGATACATCAAGGGTTTGAAGTGCACCTAGAGACTGTAGCATCTCCTGCGGCAGACATGCAAGGTCCCTAATACTTCGGATTCTCAGTGTTGTTAAGGAAGTAAGGTGAACAATATTTTTCAGTTGCTCCTTGTTGCAGTCTTCAATATTTAATTCGCAAAGGGAGGGGAGGCTCACAAGTGAACCCTCCAACTTTGGGCAATGACTAATGATAAGCTTCACAAGGGAAGGAAGGCGTCTGGGTAAGTCCCTAGTCAGCTTTGGACAATTTTTTATCATGAGTTCTTGAAGAGAAGGAAATTCATCAGCTAAATCTTCAGCACCTTCATGAGTGGAAGACCAACGTTCCCATTCTAACATATTCTGAAACCACAGAATTTCCAAGGACGGAAACCTCTGAGTAGAAGGCAAACCATCTCCACAAAACTCAAGACCCACCTTCTTGACTCCATTCATGCCTTGGAGGAACAACTTCTTCAATGATGGCAGTCTCCCAAGTGATGGAAGTGACATGCTTTTACTGCAGTCATTGAGGCTCATGTGCACAATATTAGTGAATGAGGGATCTCCTAACCATGATGGAAATCTTTTACCAACATAAAATGAAATTGTAAGTTCTTTCAGATTCTTACTAGGTTTTAGCATATCAAGAACAAGCATTTCGCCTTCTTCCTTTTGGTGATCAAGGAACTCACTACTCCATTTCAAACATAAGCCATCAATACCATGCTTGTGCATTAGATTAGCATCCCTAGCATCTCGAACATCCCCCACATTTTCCAATCCAGTAATAGAAAGCTCCCCTTTTAAATGTTTCAAGTCCTTCAATTCTCTAATATTGCCAAACCGACTGTCCTTTCCAACACAGAATTTGGACAAAACCTGAAGATTTTTCAAATTGCCTATTTGCAATGGCATCTCCACTAATTTCATGGTATCAGTAAGATCAAGGACAAGAAGGTTAATTAGATTTTCAATACCTTGTGGCAGCTTAGTGAGCTCCCTGCAGCCTCGCAATAAAAGTGTTTGTAAGTTGAGTAGGTTGCCCACAGATTCTGGTAACTGTTTAATTGTACTGTGAGACAAATTGAGGTACCTCAAATGCTTCAGATGACCAATAGAATATGGTATTTCGTCTATGCAGTATCCACTCAAACATAGCACCCTTAAGCATCTGAATTTTGCTAGCAACTCCTGTAACACATCCTTACTTATGTAATAGCATGCCGCCCGAGATGATGTATCCATCGGTAAAGCTATGAAAGTCCGTAACCACTGCACAGGATCTAATGCTTCAAATCTTTTGGAAACCTCATATTGGTGGCGAGTGAATGACAAATGACGAAGCTTTGCAATTAATGAATGCGGCTTGTCTTCAAGGGAATCCTCGAAATGAAGGCATATTTCTCCAGCAACGGATTGAGCTAGATCATTTATAAGGTCATGCATAACAAATAGTGTTTTGTTTCTATTTGATTGTTGGAAAAAGGACTTTGAGACTAAATCATGAAAATATGTAAGACCTACGTCTTGCATTTGTTTTTCTCCCTTTGCTTGTCGTATTAACCCCTCAGCCATCCATAGTAGAACCAAGTCATTCTTGTCAAATTCATAGTCCTTTGGAAACATAGCACAATAGGCAAAGCATCGTTTCAAATGGGAAGGAAGATAATGATAGCTCAACATCAGAGCAGGAAGGATGCCACTCCTTTCTTCTGGTATGTCCCACATCTTGCTCCTCAACAAATCTTCCCATTCATGATAACTTAATTTACCACGCAGAAGCCCACCCAAAGTCTTGGCTGCCAGTGGTAAGCCTTTGCACTTTCGCACTATTTCTTCACCAATTTCTTTTAGATTCGGGTGTTCATCAAAATTAATAACACCAAGGGCATGTGTGACAAACAACAAAAAGCAAGCATCGTTAGACAACACCGGTAAATGGTATACCGGATATGTGGTCATGATGGATGCAACCCTTTCATTTCGAGTGGTTACAAGTACTTTACTGCCAGGCGCTCCTGCCATGAAGGGTATTCGCAGAACCTCCCATTGCTCATAGTTCTCATTCCAAACATCATCCAAAACAATCAAAAACTTCCTACCGGAAAGCATCTCCTTTAGTTTCACTTGAAGCAAATTGAAGTCCATTAAATTGAGACCTCCGGAAGTAAAACCTCGCAGCAGACTCTCCAGAGTAACACCCCGCAGCAGCCTCTCCAAAGTAACACCCCGCGACAGCCTCTCCGAAGCAACACCCTGCGACAGACTCTCTGAAGTAACACCCCGCAGCAGACTCTCGGAAGTAACACCCCGCGGTAGACTCTCGGAAGTAACACCCCGCAGCAGACTCTCGGAAGTAACACCCCG